CCCCCCCCCTGTGTGTCACCTGTACATTAACCCCCCCCCCCCCAAAAAAAAGGGTGATGATTAAATACTACTATTACCAAAAAAAAAAAGAAGCTCTATTTCTTTTTTAACATGATGGTGGTTAAGTAGTTTGCATTTTTCAGCAGTTTAAGTTAGGTTATGCTTGTTCCAGCTCATTGTTAGGCACAAAAAAATGCACACCTTGCCTGAAAATGTCCATCCTTCAAAACCTTTACTATTGTTTCTCATATGTCCATAACATTTTTGCCCGGAGTTTTGCTTTAAATGAATCATGTGACATTTACAGATGATTGCTAAAATCAAAGGAGTTGTTGAATTCCCTCAACAGGGTTTGCGTGAAAAATGATCAGTTTTGCAGCCATTTTTGCTCCACTCTTCCTCTGTTTTTTTTTTTTTTGCTTCTGGATGGCCATAATACTGAACATCACAATGCCTATGTAGCTTTCCTATTCTCATCCAAGAAAATTCATCCTAAAATTTTAGCTTCCGCTTAGGAACGTTTGCAGAAATGGTCATACGGTTTATAGTCACACATGGCAGTGGTTATAATAAGGTCACAAGACTGGTATGCAACAAGCCCATAAAGAATAAACTGCATTTTTGTTTAGAAATAGTGAAAGATAAAAAATAAAAAAAATTCCCTTAGCATTTGAATATATTTTATTTTAATACAGGTTGCCTTTAACTTGCCGTCCATGGCCATTCCTGAACGATCAGACGGGAGCCTTATAGGAGCGGGAGGGCGTCTTAAGTGGGGAAACGGTTAGAAATGTAAACAGCCGGCGATGGCTGTTTACATTCAAGCGATCAGACGTCTCTAGAGACGCCCAATCGCTTGTAGAAGTTGCGGGTGTGTGCCCCCCTCTCGTACCGACGTCCCCGATATCTGCTGTGCCGGCACGGTGACTCTGTTACTGGAGAACAGTACACAATCTCCCTTGGATCTCCTCTCCTGTCCCCGAATGCAGGAAGGGAAATCGGTCCTTGAGACTGAAGGGCTAGACTGAGAAACCCCACCATGCTTCCAGCAGCAGTCTGGCAGATCCAAATAGCACCACCAGGAAAAAAAGGGAAGCTCCAGAATGTCCACCATATCAGAGGATGGCAGAGGAAGTTTGCATGCCTATGTCCACCTATGGAATGTAAATGGTGTGCAAGGCTGGAATCGATTACTCAGGCACAATCCATCCACCCCTCTTGCTGCGACAAGACAATAGGTTGCACCTAATGGATGATATATGCACCACAATGATGTCGTCAATCAGCACCAATCTACACCAAGCTGGCCACTGGATCTACTAGCGTATCAGTGAAAACAGTAAAAGGGTCGCAGAGCACTGTGGCGGCCAGAGCAGCTGTGACTGTCATAGCTCCAGAGATTTCAAGTACGCCACAAGCCCCACCTGTACCAGCCCACATCAACGATGGCTGCCAGGCCTCTCAAAATGCCAGTGAAGGATAAAAGGCAGCATTATTATGTGGCCGCAAGGGTGTGGAATTCCTATCGCCCAACGTTTTTTTGTACATTTAGCCCTGCTTCGGACAAGCAGAGCTAAATGCACAGTGGGGAGCCGCTGCTCGTTTTTATACAAGATCTGATCAGATCACTTGCATGAAATGAGCAGTGGCGATCTTGTCCGCCCACACCGTGGTTTTCGGGGTTCCACGCTCTTCTGGGGAACCCAAGACCACAGCACAACAGCTCAGGCATCTAGAGTGTAGAGCAGATGAAAAACGTCCGTTCTTTGTCTGCTCTGTGATCAGTGAGACTGTGGCGCTGTAATGACAGCACCACCTGTCTCAGCTGTCAGGCACTGCACAGAACATCTGTTCTGTGTTGGAGGGCAGGTTCCATAAAAAGAACCTGTCACCTTTAAACTATCACATAGGGGCACATAGGAATACAATTAAATATTGAATATAGGAATACAATTGATGGGAAAAAAAGTTTAAAAAAAAGTTATGAAGTAAAACATAAAATAAAAATGTTAAAAATAAAAGTGATAAAGTAAAAAAAAAAAATGAAAACCAAAATGTGCATTAAGGGGTAAGTTCACTTTCCCAGGTAATTTGGGAAAATGGAATTACCCAATCAAATCTGCACCACCCAGCTATACTTGCCTTTCGGCGAACAGTCCTTACTCTCCGCTAGTACTGGTGCACTCTGACCGGCAGTGCCATAGGAGAACATGGAGCCAGCTTCCCGTGCAATCAGGAAGCGGGGCAGCGAGTAATGACCCGCCTCCCTGAGTGGCTGGGAAACCAGCTCTTTGCTGATTGGCTGGGAAACCGGCTTCCCGACCAATCAGATAATTACTCGCCGCCTGGCTTCCTGATTGGCCTGGGGAAAATGAACGGGAGATGTGTCAGTTGCGCCTCTGTAGGAAAACAATGTTTGTGCCACACATGTCGTCTATCATCATATAACGCCAGAGAGAGCAATAGTTCTTCATTATTCATGGTAAACTCTAAATTAATGAAATAATTTTGAGGCTTGACATGTTTGGTATCTTATTTATCCAGTGCATTCTAATTTTTTTTTTGTTTACAAAAAATTGGTCCCTGCTTTCAGAAACTATATCATTTGGGGAGGTGTTAATTTTTAGGCCTAAAAAAAAGTGACTTTTAATGTGCGCTAAAAAAAGCAAAAAAATCGCCCTAGCAGCAGAAGGTTTAGCTGCAATAAATTAAATATTTGTTTTTGGGTTTAACTATGCTTTTAGGGCCTGTTGACACCACATCCGGACCAGATATGCAAACGCAGAGCCTTTTTGACGCGTTTCGGTGCATTAGTGTAGCCATGCAATCCAATGCATCTGCCATCCAATGCATCTGCATGCATTTCGGTGCGTTCCAGACCAGAAAAAAAAATTGTGCATGCAGCATTTTTTCCCTGCACCGGAACAGACTGCACTGATGTGAACAGAGCCCAGAAATAACATAGGATTACATTGGGATGCATTTCAGGTCTGGACAAATCCTGTTCTGGTCCGGACATGTTGTGAACAAGCCCTTAGTTCTAGCTGCCCACTATGGCACTGGGATGAAGATGCAGTCCAAATATGGCTTCCAGTCTTTGCAGCTCACAGACTGAATACAATCACTTACATTTTAATAAGTGTTCAATAAACTGAAGAAAAAACCCCCCAAAACATTAATAAGTACATATCACAGGAGGAGGTTCAAGGAAACTGTAAATTAAAAACTATTGAAACAGCTTGCTACAGTGTGAAATAAACTTAAGCTGGCCATTTATTTTTATCTTGTTCAGCCCTGGGGCCTGAACGAGAAAAAACACTTAAAAACACTGTGGACGGGAAAATATCCCCTTGCAGGGCTATTGTATTCGGGCAGCCAGCACCCACAGCTGTCAGAATACAAAAAGCTGTCAGCTAATACTATGGGCAACTGCTCCAATTTAATCCAGATTTTCTTTTTTTTATCAGCCCATGTATACCCATTGTATGTCAGAATAAAAATACCTGTAGTATATCTTTTTTTTTTGTTAACTGTGGGCTGTAATTAGGATAAACTCTAACCTAGCATAAAGAAAGACACCAGAGCTCAGAATGTATATGTGCTGGGAAGCTGTCATAAATGTGAAAGCTTCCCGCTAAAGCTCATTAGTTGCTAGGATGAGGCAATGTTAGCCAGCATCTCTGCTTTGTTTACATTCAGCTATTGGTCAAGGAATTTCCTGGCTGGCAGCTGAACGGAGCCAGGGATGTGTTGCTGGTTGCCAGGATGTCGACAGCTGCACAGCTGTCAGCCTCCTAACAACTAATGACATGGCTGAATGGAAGTGGATGGAGCCTAATGGGGAAGCAGAGACATTAGTTCATCAAGCCCGCCTCCCTCGTAAATGACAGCGGTCTACTCTCAATCACGCGAGATATTTGCCACACAAAGGATTTCAAAGGAGTGTCTATGACGTACTCTGAATTTCAGGGGCTGTGTTCATAAAAAATACAAACAGAAAACGAATCAGCTATCAGAGTATAGTACCATGTTAGTTATCAATCATTTCAAAATGTTTTTAATTTAAGTGATACCTTTTTTTTTGGCATACAGTGATTAGAAAAATGAATGTTTTTAAAGTTTGCCCCTTTAAAACTTAAAGCAGAACTTCAGCCAAAAATAATATAAAATTAATAGTACATTAAAATATAAAAACAACAAAACTAGCTTTTGTCACAATATTCAACGTCAATCCAGATATTTTTCACAATGTATTTTATTTCAATAGCTAGATGTTCTCAATCTGTTGGTCAGCATCATTCAACCCACTTCCTTCATCCCAGACCTGTCTCAGCCCGTGACTGGACAGTGAAAGGAAAGGCAGTTCAGTGATGCTCATCTCTCTGTCTTTCTATCAGCAAGCTTCTTGTTAGCACATGAACTGGCTGGCTCCTTGTGCTGCTACACACTCCAGCCCTGCTCTACAGGGAATTTAAGAGGCTCATACCAGGTCAAATTCAGGTACTTGCACAGCTTGCATTTAAAACATACATTTTAATAATGTATTATTACAGAACTGCATTCATGTGTCTTTTGTATCTTGCCACAACTTATGATAAAGTAGATCCCAATAGTTTGCGAAACACGTAGAGTAAGCCTCAACCCCCAGCAGCTAAACATAAATGATTGATGTTTATGATAGCACTAATAATACAGTGGGGTTATGAAAGACATGTGGTCATAGCTCTCACTGTGCTATTTGCTTGTAATATACCGTATGAGTTCAGCCTATTTTTAAGGTTAGAGATTTTTTTTTCCAATTTGCATAAAATATATATTTTTAATTAACAAAATGTTGCGTCTAAATCTCTGTGGCTCCTCTGGTTATATTCCGCATCCTTCTATGACTGATGTTTTAGCTCTGTATGGACTGAATTTTGATTGAATTCATTACCTAAATCTCTGAGCCTGATGATGAACTGGTCCTCCAAATCGTCGTGCTGGCGAGTGACAAAGCTGGGAAAGTAGTGCCATGTTCTTATTCTGGTTTGGATTAGCAGCAAACTTCACCGTTATGGGTTCTGTAGCACCTGGTGGTTTGTGGCCATTAAAGCTTGCAATTGCTTCTTCTGCTTCTGATCGTTTGTCAAACCTTATAAATGCCACGCCACGAGACAAACCTTCAGACAAAGAATATAAAAAATTATATGCGATTGCTATCAAGAATTCAATATATTCTTATGAATATAACTAATATTTTTTTAAAAATTCCTTGCACAGCTGGTAATATTTTTCTACACACAGTAGCCATAGTTTGTCACTTCATATCCAGAAAACATATTATATGGTGGAAGGCAGATGCCCAACAAATGTCAGCTCTCAGGGGCAACAATCATCAGGTAGTTTAGGAAACATTGCTTGATTTCTTTTCACCCCCAAGATAGCAGCACAGATGGTGTCCATCTGCAACGCTCTCCTCCTCTCAATTGATAAACTTGCTTGGCAGAATAGACATTGCGATTTTACAAAATTTTCTTTGAAACTCCCAGAGTTCAGTGAATGTATGTTCAAATGACCTTCCACGCCTACAGGCAGCCCAAGTCTAACTGCACTTGTTATTTATTCTTACTGATTATACAATATTGTTTCCCTTTCAAGATAAGTTATATCAAGGCTGGACCTCCTTTTGGGTGCCAGATGTACTACTATTTTACAATGTTTTCTGTTAGAGATCAAAGGAATTATCTTGCTACACTGTTTAAGCCTCGTGGGCCGAAGTAGGCAAAAGCTGTGTACATTGTTTAGGACAGATATAGTCTATTACTCCACAGTTTGCTATATTGTAAATATACTAATTCTATAACAGTTAAACCCCGCACCTTTAAAAACCTACCATAAATTCTAAATTAGGCAGAAGGAAAAAAAATAGGATTGTTTGCACTCGCCTGTAAATCCTTTTCTCTGAGTTAATTGAAAGACACAGTGGAGATCTTTAGATCTTGACCACTGGGTTATAGTGCCACCATCAGGAGTAGAACACTAGGCAAAAAAAACCCACAGCCTAGGAGCAGCTTCTGTTGGTGGCCAAAATCCTAATATGCTAGAGGCAGCTCAGTTAGTAACAAGGCTGTACATAAAACAACTAACCAGATTAACCAGAGGGCTGGATGCGGTGTCTTTTAATCAATTATTTTCTCTCCTAGTCATTGAAAGACACAGCAAGACAAAGACACAGAGATCTTTAGATCTCTTAAACACTGGCACAATTGCACAGTAAAAGGCTCAAAATCAAGGAAGAGGAAGGTAGAGATCACAAGGGTCATGATCAACCTAGATCAAGCCCAAGCCTAAACCTAAACCTGATCCAAACAAAAAAATATGGAAACATGCATCACTAAAAACTGTCTAGAGGGGGAAAACTCTCCTTAAGCATCAAAGAAAATATGCCTCCCAACCATGCATAACTACGGAAGGTAGGACCCCTGGCTAGAACCCCATGGGGATACCAGACACCAAAAAGCTCTTGGATCACCAAACTGGACTTCAACGGAAAAGTTGAAAAAACCAGAGACCCTGAACATGAAGGAAAATCAACCCTCATGACAGTAGAGCCCGCAGACCAGGAGCAGCCCACAAAGCATTCGCAGGATTCAAACAGGTCGAGGTACTAAGACCAGCCGCACCAGCTGGGAGCTATCAGAACACTTGCAATCTCAATCCAGACAAGTAGACAAAGAACTCCCAGAGGAGGAAAGCAGAGAACCTGCTGCATCAAATCTATGGAGTCACTACAGTATCCTCTGCTGCCAATGGAGATAAACACTGGTGACAAAAGCGAGAAGTTCTAAACAAAGTGCACTGCGCTTTTTCAATCATCTAAAAAAAAGTGATGAAATAAGTGTCTAGAATAAATAACCTATTTAATTGTGAAATTAAATAACATGAAGTATCTTTCACCATAGAGTGTTCATATAAACAAATGAAGCAATCATAGTAATGCCCATCTAGTGAAAATCAACAGTGATGGTCCTTCTATGAATTGAAACACTCCACAAGCTGGTCCAATAGGTGCCGTGCATGCACATGATCCTCCCACTGTGCGCTCACAGACACTTACCAGATTTCCCTGGCGCTTTAGCAACATAGAGTCAAACACCACTAAATCCCCACTGTTCCAATCCATTGTGTACACTTCTATGAGTTCTCCTCCACTCCAATGTCCATCCTCACTCCCCAGGCAATCATTAATGATTCATCGTTACCATGTAATGGAAAAACCCGCTCATAGTGTGATAGGTAAAAACAAGTATCTTTATTCAAAACGATCTACTCACATTCAGTTCTAAAAAGATGGCATCGGTTCAAATCTCCTCCCGTCTCTCGCATGTGTGATGGCGTCAGCAAGCCCTGCCTTAAAGCGTTTCATCGCAGACTTTCAAAAGGCAGTGGTTTTGCTGAAGACTGTGTGCATCC